GGGATAGTTTTAGAAACTAGAGGGCGTGAAAATAGTCACGTGATCTCGATGACGCAACAGTACACTTACTTTGCCCTTGTTTATACAAATCATGTTTGTAGACAGTTGTAGTTTAGCATGTGGAATTATTTAATATTCACATGTCAACATATCTTTAGAATGCCGTACCCTGTCAAAATATTAAACTTGTAATGTAAAGAGACTAATTTAAGAAAATGGGTATGATGTAAAATAAGCACTTTTGTTAATGTTTTTTTTTATTTTTCACACAGCATCCTTTCATGGAGCTAGCAGACCTCTGACAACTTTACAACTTCTTATAGTGACAGCCAAAGATGCAGTCAAAAGTCAATAATAGTTCAAAAACCAAATATCCACATATATATGTTAAACGAGGGTGCAAGAAGCAGTTTATGAAAGTCAGCATCACTTTAGGAAAAGAAGATAAACAGAATGTGTTTGCCAGATTTCCCCAAGAGTAGCAATATATTGTGTACACAATAAGTCAACAAACAGAAATTAATATTTAATGTTTTGTTAAAGAATTACTCCACGAACAAAGTGAAACTGTATTAACAAATATTTTCAATTTTGTTGAAAATTTGTAACATCTACGAAGTTGAAGGGCACAAACAATTTTTCCCATTTTGCCTATAAAGTGTAACATGATTTTACATAATTCACCTTCGTAGATTTTGAAAATAATATTAAGGATATTTTTACAAATCTGGAAGAAAAAAAATTCTTACTTAGATCAAATTATTATGTTTGTTAACAAAAATACCAACAAACTGAAGAAAATGGAAGTACACTGATGTCAAACAAATGTGCATCCTCATTCATCTTGATTTTTTCTGTGAAATTTACGTCTTTTAGTTTCAAAACTATTTGTTGTGGTCTTATATATTGCGAGGCCAAACATAGGCAAGTGGTTAGGGCGATCGACTCACAATCTGCGGGCTGCAGGTTTGTATCCTCATCCCACCAAACATGCTAGCCCTTTCAGGTGTGGGGGGTGTGATATAGTGTTGGTCAATCTCAGTATTTGTTGGTAAAAGTGTAGTCCAAAAGTTGATGGTGAGTGATAATGAATAGCCCTCTTCCCTATACTTTTTCACTGCTAAATTAGGAACAGCCAGTGCAGATAGCCCTCTTGTAGCTTTGTGCAAAATTAAAAGAAAGAAACTTGTGTATTGGATCTGGATCATCTTGTTTCAATGACCAGTAGTAATCAGCAACCATGCTGATGTTCCACCTTCCCTGATACCTCCACTCTATTTCCCTGATGTTTTGACGAAACCTTTCCCCTTGTTCTTCGCTTAAGGCACTGAGATTTTCAGGGAAATAGTCACTATGTGAGTGTAAGAAATGAATTTTCGAGCTCATAATACAACCCAACTCTTTGAATTTATCGAGCATGTTATTGACAATATTTTCGTAATTTAGGTCCTTGTTATTTTCTAAAAATTTCTCAATAACATCTTTCTTTTACAACTTTCCTCATTGTCATTTTCAAATGAAGTCAATCTCCTAATCTTAGGCGCAAAAAAATCCCTTCTTTAAGTTTTGCTTCTGGAAAAGCTGGAAATTGCACACATAGATACTTGAAACAGTGGCCATCTTTGTCTAAGACCTTTACAAACTGCTTCATCAAGCCCAGTTTTATGTGAAGTGGGTTTGATGAAGCAGTTTGTAAAGGCCTTACAAAAAGATGGCGACTGATTCGGTCATCTTTGTGTCAACCAAACTAACTCTGCATGGCCATTGCTTCTCTATTCATGCTGATTTTGTGCTATGTTGTCCCGTTGTTACAAAAAACATGGAAATTTTGTTTTACCGGATTGTTGACTCAACAACATACAAAGCCCTAACAAAGTAGCCAACCATGTTCTTTGTACTTGACCTTATTAAGAAGAAGTTCGAGATTTTTGTATGTTTCCTTCAAGTGAACCGAATGAGTGAACCACAACTTTTCACATAAGGAAACCTTCATGATTTGGTAAGAGATTTGGGCCTTCCAAAGGATTGTTCAGAGAAATTTGGGGCCCAAACTTCGGGCTAAGAACTTACTTTCTCCAGGGACATCACTTTACTGGTACAGAAATCGTGAGAAATAATTTACACCATACTTTTTGCAAGAAGGTTCACTGGTTTATTGCAACAATATTCTGAATTAATACCAATATTAGGAGCTGTAGTCTGTGAACCAAGTGAGTGGCGATTGTTCATTGATTCCTCCAAAAGAAGTCTAATAGGTGTTCTCCTTCACAATGGTAACATATATGCATCTTTTTCTATTGCTCATTCGGTTCACTTGAAAGAAACATACAAAAATCTAGAACCTCTTGTTAATAAGGTCAAATACAAAGAACATGGTTCACTACGTTGTTGAGATTTAAAAGTCCTTTGTATGTTGTTGGGTTAACAATCCGGTTATAAAAATCTTCCACGTTTTTTTTGTGTGAATGGGACAGCAGAGCATGAAATCAGCACCAGATAAAAAAGAAGCAATGATTATGCAGAGTCAACCTGATATCAGGATAGAAAAAAAAACACTGAACATGAAAGTTTGGTTTGACACAAAGAAAGTCCTATTACCTCCACTTCACATAAAACTGGGTTTGATGAAGCAGTTTGTAAAGGCCTTAGACAAATATGGCGACTGTTTGAAGCATCTGTGTGGGCAATTCCAGGCTCTTTCAGAAGTGAAGCTTAAGGAAGGGATTTTTTGATGGCCCTCAGATTAGGAAATTTACTTCGGATGAACAGCTAGAAAGGACAATGACGAAAGTTGAGAAAGAAGCATGGATTGCCTTTAAAGATGTTATTGACAAATATTTAGGTCCCAAATTACGAAATTATTGTCAATAACATACTCGATAAATTCAAAGGGTTGTAATAAAAGCTTGAAAGTTCATTTCTTACACTCACATATTGACTATTTCCCTGAAAATCTCGGTGCCGTCAGCAAACAACAAAGTGAAAGGCTTCATCAAGAAGTCAGGGAAATGGAGAGGAGGTTTCAGGCTAGGTGGACCATCAGCATGGTAACTGATTACTTCTGGTAATGGAGAAAAAAGCTCCAGATACTATACATAAGACCACAATACGTAGTTTTGAAACTAAAAGACATAGATTTCACACACACACAAAATTGGGATGAATGGAGATGCATATTTGTTTGTCATCAGTGTTCTTCCCTTTTCTTCAGTTTCTTTGTTAACGAACATAATAATAAAAATCTTCATTGGGGTAAGCGAAATAATAATTTGATCTAAGTAAGAATTTTTTTCTTCCCAATTTGTAAAAAAAATAAAAAACCTTACACGATAGAAAAACCTGTGAAGAATTCCTGGAACTTCTTGTCCTTTCCGCGAAGCTAAACTTTTATGAAGTTTAAGTTCAGAGGTCTGTGTTATTACTTTTAATGTGAGTTGTCTACTAACTTCCATATACATGTATGTATGTAATTAAGTTATATAGTGTATTATATCCTAACAAAATTGAATGAATTAGAGGGGCATATAAGTTATTTTAAATTACATTATTCTGTACATATTTGTATTGTTGCACTATGTGTGTGTGTGTGTGTGTGTGTTAAATAAATAAATAGCTTACAAACTATTGGTTACATTAATTACCAATTTAAACAGCACTATAAAACAATAATGAATTAAACATTACATTACAGTTGCTGGTCCATTTTGTCCACTTATTGTCATAACGGATAATGTCTGTGTTAACAGCACCCAAGTGCACTAGGAATATCCCATTTATCGGACAAACGCTGTTGTCAATAAAAAATAAAATAAGGGTACGTAGCTGAGTGCTTACACCACCAACGTTTCAGCTTCTACAGCCGTTCACTGTTTATAGCCAGTTGTGGGAAGGCAGTTACCCTTAAATATCTTAAAGTAGAAATGAAATGAAAATGAAGCCACCCTAATATTTCTACTAATTAAACACCCAACCTTCACCCTTACAAAAATGATATTAAATAGAATTATAAAATATTGAATAGAACTATACACCCTACCTTGATAGATTTATTTGATATTTTTTATGATTTTCCATGAAGACTGACTAGATTGACATTGGTGTATGGATTTAGTCTGATAAATGGGATATCCCCAATGCTTCGGGTACTATTACTATTATCCGTTATGACAATAAATTAACCACCTCTAACGATAATGCGATATATGTATATATATATAAAGAAGTTTGGAAATTAACCAAAATTACACAGTAAAACACATACATACACAAATAGAAGTTATAGAAAAGCAAACAAAAAGTCTATAGAAAAGTATCATTTTTTCCCCCATTCTCACTTACTGAATGAACAATATGTGGATGTTTTCTGACAGATACTCTGTTTTTTCAACATAAACATGGGAATTTAAGAGTTGAATTGAACAAAATTTGGGAAACGTCAACAGAGAATCAGATAATATTGGAGAATTCGAAGAGTGAAAA